GTTAGTATTCATGGCTTGAAGCTTTGTTTTAAAATGTTTGTTTTGTGCCACACTTTGACATTTAAGCTTTTTTGGTCTTTCCTTTTCCTCTGTGGTGAGCCTCGGTCATTTGGCATTTGTAAGAGGGTATCTTGACACTGAACTTTACTCAATGGGTAACAGATTATTGTATTGCATTGTTTGTATTTCAATTATTTTTCTTTACTTGTTGTACCCCGTCATATGGTACTCGTGCCTTTTCTGACCCCATACCTGCATCGCCATTTAATTCTATTATGTTTTTGTTTTGTTTTTTCAAATGGAAAAAGCCTCTGTAGATTTATGTAAAATACTAAAACTGTCATTTTCTTGAAGCTGTGATGTAAATCTGTCTACAGAAAGGATACAGAAGGATTTCTGTTCAAGTACATTTTATAAAAACAATTTTGATAGCATCCCGTCTCCCGCTGTCTTTTCATCTACTATGAACGTGTAGCATATAGATAGATTTGTGGCTCATGATTATTTGCTTGGTTTGGTATTTAACATTTTGTTGGACTGCTGGTTCTGCTGCATTCCAACTATTTTTTTCGTTGAATCTTTATTCAACTTTTGATCATCTTTTTAGACCTTTTCTGACTTTATAATGGGTGTAGCTCAGAGCAAGTGAGGCTTTCGCTAGAGTGTAGAGGAGCTCCAGAATCCTGTGAAAAAAACATTTTAAATTTGCGACCAATCCCACAATTTTCACTCTTCATCCATCATTTTTGGACAAAATGTAGCTAATCTTGTCCTGGTCAACGGGGGCACAATAATTCTGGAGGGCACTGTATGTCAAGTCACATACAGTGCCCTCCAGAATTATTGGCACCCTTTGATAAAAATGAGCAAATGAGGCTGTGAAAAAATGTCTTGTTTATCCTCATGATCTTTCATTCAAAAATCTAACCTTTAACTGAAGTAACATAATTGAAAGAAACAAATTCTTATCCTGAAACAAATATTTTTCTCAAAAATATATGTGCCACAATTATTGGCACCCCTTCATTTAATATTTTGTGCAGCCTCCCTTTTCCAAGATAACAGCTCTGAGTCTTCTCCTATAATGCGTGATGAGGTTAGTGAACACATGGCACTAGATCTGCGACCATTTCTCCTTGCAGAATCTCTCCTGATCCTTCAGATTCCGAGGTCGACGCTTGTGGACTCTCCTCTTCAGCTCATCCCACAGATTTTCTATGGGGTTTAGGTCGGGGGACTGTGACGGCCATGGCAAAACCTTTATTCTGTGATCGATGAACCATTTTTGTGTCGATTTTGAGGTGTGCTTCGGATCATTGTCCTGCTGCAAGGTCCAACCATGGCCCATTTTAAGCTTCCTGGCAGAGGCTGTGAGGTTTTCATTTAATATCTGGTGGTATTTGATGGAGTCCATGATGCCATGTATCCTAACAAGATGTCTGGGGCCTTTGGAAGAAAAACAGCCCCACAACATCAAAGATCCGCCATCATACTTCACAGTGGGTATGAGGTGCTTCTCTGTATGGCTATCTTTCTGTCTACGCCAAACCCACCTATGATGTTTGTTGCCAAAAAGCTATATTTTGGTCTCATCTGACCATATAACCCGGTCCCATTGAAAGTCCCAGTAACGTTTGGCAAACTGTAGGCGCTTTAGTTTGTTGTTGATTGACAGCAGAGGCTTTTTTCTGGCAACCCTCCCAAACAACTTGTGGTGATGTAGGTGGCGTCTGATGGTAGTTTTGGAGACTTTTTGACCCCAAGACTCAACTAACCTCTGCAATTCTCCAGCTGTGATCCTTGGAGATTCTTTTGCCAGTCGAACCACACATCCTCTTCCAGGCTGATTCTTAACATCTCCCGTCGCTTTAAACTTCTTAATTATTGCCCTGATAGTGGAAATGGGTATTTTCAACTGTTTAGAGATTTTCTTATATCCTTTTCCTGATTTGTGCAGATCAACAACTTTCCGTCGCACATCGTCACTGTGTTCGCAGGTCTTTCCCATGGTGATGAATGACTAAGGGAATTTGGCCTGTCACCTCATATTTATACTCCAGTGAAACAGGAAGTCATGGTTGACCACTTAAGAGTTCCTAATCAAACAGGTGAACTTAAAAATGTAAAATATGACTGGAATTATACTTCAGTTAGATTTTAATCATATGTTCTAGGGGTGCCAATAATTGTGGCCCACATGTTTTGGAGAAAAATATTTGTTTAATGTCAACATTTTTTTTTTTTTCAATAATTTTACTTCAATGAAAAGGTAACATTTTTGTGAATATTTTGAGTGAAAGACCAAGAGGATAAACAGCAAAGAATTTTTTTCACAGCCTGTTTTGCTCATTTTTATCAAAGAGTGCCAATAATTCTGGAGGGCACTGTATTACTATGGAATCCAACAGACTTACACATTTGGCAACAGCAGCCTGAAAGTCCAACTATCTGCTCCATAAAGACCCATAATTAATTCTGACTAAAAAAATCTTGCACAGAAAACCGTACACCATTTCTAGATTACCACAAAAGCCACATTTTTTACACTACAGATACAATTGTCAACATTATCTGTTCATCAAGTCGTCCTTCCTCCCAAGGTCTGATATCGAAGCAATAGGAGCTACGATTTTTTGAGTTTTGAAAAGTAGTTTGACGGGTGCACCTCAGCTTTAACTCTGTGTAAATCTGGTGCAACTCTGTCGTCTCTTTGAAGTTACATCGCTGTGGCAACCTTTGATGCTGGCAGGCACACAGGTGATTGATATGAGCTAATTAGTGCAGTTTGACACACACTGACACGCACACAGAGACCTGACACACACTGTAGCGTAGGTTTTTCTCATAACTATTCAAAGTACACGTTGGGCTCCAGACGGGAGAATAATAGAAATTCTACCCTGTCAATTTAATAAAATAATATCACTGCGAACAGTTAGAGAGAGAACTAACCCGGCTACAAAATGCAACATAAGCAAAACTCAACCAATTTCATTGCATTTCATTGAAGTCAAGTGTATTTTACGCACACATCATAAATCAAATCAAAACGGATAGTTTATTTTCAAATACAGAATTAATCACAAAAAAAGTTAATTCAATCAAATAAACCACATGCCCGAGTCCAGATACAGAAATCAAATGTTCATTGAGTAATCAAAATTAAATGAGGACTCCAGGTGTGTGTGTGTGTGTGTTGGGGGGGTTGTCGTTCCGTTCCAAAGCTAAGGGAATATATGGGAGTTCATTGACTGACCAAAGTGAGTCAAAGTCATCAAAGCACTGATCCTGGAGCCACCGAAAGAATTTGCCGAACAAACCTTCAACAATGTCAAGCAGTGTGGGAAATACGTGGACAACCCCAAACTCAGGTACGACTCCACACAGCTGGTGTTCACGTTGGTCGGCACGAATATCGGGAAACCATGAATTGTGCAGAAAATGCACGTGTAGGTACTTTTTAAAAACACGAGCCACATCAAAATCCATCCTGCGGCATTTATAACAGTGAAGTCATGGCATGCTGTGTTTGCCTTTTGTAATTCTTGTTTTATACCAGAAGATGGAGCCAGGGCTTCATTTTAAATGTTGACGTGGGTATATTTGTCCCTACAGGAACCTGCTGGTGATTGGTGGCGTGCCTGCCAAAGACCAGCTGGCTGCTCTGGAACAGGGGGTAGGTGACATGTAGCCTACTGTCTCCAAACAAACATTTGATATTTAAAAACAGAGTTTAAACAGTTTTAACTGACAGACGTCATACTTTGCCATGTTTTTTGTGTCGTCTTATAATTAGATTGACATTGTGGTGGGAACACCAGGAAGACTGGACGACCTCATATCTACTGGGAAGCTCAGTCTGTCCCAAGTCCGCTTCCTAGTCCTGGATGAGTGTGTACGTACAACACATCAAGAGTATTTCCTGTTGCATCAAAAGGATTGCATTTTCCCGGTCCTACAAAGTCGTGAATGGTTGCTTTCCATAACAGTCCCTGAAGTCCCTCACCATCGGTCTCTGTTCTCTGTGTCCCTCAGGACGGCCTACTGTCCGCAGGCTACACAGACTTTATCAACAGGATCCATAACCAAATCCCTCAGGTCACTTCTGACGGCAAAAGACTGCAGGTAAAATGTGTGTGTGACAGTAAATATAATGTAGGAACTAAACAAGACCCTCAGATGAAAGTCAAAGCAGATGAAATGTCTTCTCTTCCAGGTGATCGTGTGTTCAGCCACGCTGCACTCGTTTGACGTGAAGAAGCTGTCTGAGCGTATCATGCACTTTCCCACCTGGGTGGATCTGAAGGGGGAGGACTCTGTCCCCGAGAGTGTCCACCACGTGGTAGTGCCTGTAAATCCGAAGAACGATCGCCTCTGGGAACGCCTCGGCAAGAACCACATCCGGGTGAGTCCCTCGTGTTGGCCCAGAGACATTCAAGATTCAACACATTTTTTTTTAAGCTCGTACGTTGTTGTTTCTCTCCGTTTCGATTAATGTGCTGACAAAGCTTTTCTCCTTTCGATTTGTTTTGGATAGACCGATGAAGTCCATGCCAAAGATAACACCAGACCAGGAGCCAATTCTGCAGGTGAGAGCAGAAAGGCAGCACAGACCGTCCCTCTAGTGTGATGTGTTTAACATGGTCCCGTGCATCAGTGTTCATCACATGAATGACCACACGGATATCGTTTTAGTCCTTTCCTTTCAGGAGTCGTGATTGAGAAATAAAAAAAGTGTACGTGTGCGCTTTTTAGAAATGTGGTCGGAAGCCATCAAGATGCTGAAGGGCGAGTACACGGTGAGGGCCATCAAAGAGCACAAGATGGACCAGGCCATCATCTTCTGCCGCACCAAGATCGACTGTGACAACATGGAGCAGTACTTCATTCAGCAAGGAGGAGGTAGGAGGCATTACCGGACACACCTTCTAAATAATGATGACGTGATCCATGTTTGACTCCATGACAAAGTATAATTGGTGTCTCTTTTTTTCTTTAGGTCCAGACAGTAAAAGCCACCAGCTCTCCTGTGTCTGTCTGCATGGGGATCGTAAGCCGAACGAGAGGAAAACTAACTTGGAGCGCTTCAAGGTAAAAGGACATCGGCTGTTTAATTACCCTTTCTCAATTGCAACCAGTCTAGCGATGTTTAAAGATTCTTCTTGTGTTCTCAGAAAAAAGAAGTGAGGCTGTTGGTCTGCACAGACGTAGCTGCCAGAGGAATCGACGTCCACGGAGTTCCTTATGGTAAATATGTTCGATTTACAACTTACATTCCAACATTAAATACAGTGTTCATTACAAAAGATTGCTTTGCTGTATATACAAGTCCACAATCTCCACCTTTTTCTCTCCAGTGATTAACGTCACCCTGCCAGACGAGAAGCAGAACTACGTCCATCGTATTGGAAGAGTTGGAAGAGCCGAGAGGTAAACATGAACTTTCAAGAAAATGAGTTTGTGTGCCGTGGTAAATTTCACCACATGATTATGTTTGTAAAATCAAATTCATCTTGATTGCAACTGTTACAGAATATATCTTAAAATGCACTCATCGCATTATGATTCAACGGAAAAGACAGAATTATATGATTGACTTAAAAAATCTCATTTCCTTTTAACTCGCAGGATGGGACTGGCCATCTCCTTGGTTGCAATGGAGAAGGAGAAGGTTGGCTGGATTATAGAAAATATGCTGCTGATTAATTTAGATTGTTTTACAAAAATAGGTCAAATACAATGTTTCTATTTGTGCAGGTGTGGTACCATGTTTGCGCGAACCGAGGCAGAGGCTGCTACAACACCCGGCTGAAGGAGGATGGAGGTTGCACCATCTGGTACAACGAGAAAGAGGTGAACTAAGAAACTCAAACTTAAATCAAGCTCATGCAGCAAGTAGAGTTTGTCACACACTTGAACTTCACACATATGACATAATACCCATTATTCCCTTGCCTCTCACCACAGCTCCTGTCAGATGTTGAGGAGCATCTAAAGTGCACCATCACCCAGTGTGAGCCAGACATCAAAGTACCCGTCGATGATTTCGATGGAAAGGTCACCTATGGTCAGCGCAAGGCTTTGGGAGGTATGTGTGCTCTACAGGGACCCCTGTGTACGAGCATATTGTGGCCACACTGGCTTTGTGAATAGTAAACAATCTTCCAGTACACTAATCAAAATATCTATAGTTATCGTGTGTGTTGGCTGTTAATTCACTGCTTGACCAAAAAACCTCTTGCTCTTGCCAAGGTGGTAACTACAAGGGCCACGTGGAGGCTCTGGCCCCGACGGTCCAGGAGCTGACGACCCTCGAGAGAGAAGCCCAGTCTTCCTTCCTCCACCTGGGTTACATGCCGAACCAGCTTTTCAGAGCCTTCTGA